ATTTCAACCAGCTCTCATTCACTCACTGGGTAACATTTTGCCTCCTGTCATGGACAATGTATGTTGATTTTTTTTATTGTTGTTGGTTTGCTTTGGTTTTTTTAATTCTGATGAAAGAACCAGACTTTGCTGAACCTGATGCTATCAGGTTTTTGAATGGACCAAATTATAGGAGGTTAAAGGCTTAATTTAAACCGCTACTAACTCTGACATCTTCTAGAGAGCAAATCATGAGCTTTGAAACCCACCTAAACCTCATCATGCTCAGGCATGAGCATGTGGGAGGGATGTGGAAGGTATTTAGAGTGACATCACACCTTATACTTCAAAATACACCTGTATGCTATATTCATATCCACTTTATTGCACTCCCTGCATTATTTTATTTATTCATCTCTCCTCCCTCTCTTTATATGTTTTTTCCACTACAATGCCAGATGAGCAAATCCCCTTCATTTGAAGACAGTTCAAACTCATCATCACATACTTTGTATAACTAATGAATTCTGACATGAGCTCAGTTAGGCTGTTGGTGCTTGAAGAAAAAAAAGAAGTTACTTCAGTAACTTAAATTTTTGTAAGGAGAGAGGCTTTCAGAACAGTTTCAACTCAGTACTTTTTATTTTTTACCAGGACTTGGGTTTTCTGGCAGCTGGGCTGAGTTATATCTCAAAATCTGTAAGACCTTACGAGAAGGGGAAAAAAGAGTCCCAGAAACCCCATTTGCCACATTTATACCACACTGTAAGAAGGTTTTTGTCACATTGCTACATTTATTTCAACTGGGATAAACAACGGGACTTTTGTGTTAACAACTTACGTGTTATGAGAGGAAGAAATCCAGTAATGGGACAAAGGATTATTCATGTCCTGCACATCTATTGAATCATATTTCTCATCCCAAATACTATTTTCTTTTGCAAATAGGTAAGCGAGGAACTACAATACAAAGAGAGAGACTGAATTGAAACATTTTTACCCTATGAGAACAAAAGAAACCCAGCAATGCAGAAAGAGGGCCCTAGAGATCCTGCCACCCAGTGAAAATTCTGTGAAAGAAGTCTATGGGAACAATTACAAAGTACCATTATCTCACCTCATCAACAAAGAGGAAAGGTTCAGCAGTTTCTCTCATAGTGTCATCAATAAACTTTGTCATTCGTTCTCGGACTTTACTGAGATCCTGTGCCCAAGATTCCTTCAGATAATTGCAATACAGTAAAAGAAAATTTTAGGAGTGGTGATAGCACAAAAATCAAACAAGGAACAGAGAGTTCTACAGAGAGGTACACACTATGTAGGTACAAATGTGCATTGACAGGGAGAAAAAATCTGGCCTCCTTGGACATGCCTTAACTATAATCTCTCTCATTTCTAAGTGTAATCTGAACATCCTTTGAAAACAGTGAAATTGGGAGAAAAAGAAAGTAGCAAGCTTACACAGGAAGTGTAGGTCTCACTTTTAAATCACAATTGCAAATCTGGAGCTCAGCAGTGCCTAGCAAATATTGCACATGGAGTCTCTGCTAAATAACATTTTAGAAACCCATGAAGACACAGTTCCAATCCCTGCCTTCATCCTTATCTGCTTGCTGGCACGGGACATCTAACTGGCTCCATTCAATAGAAATTACCTCTGTCTGGAATGCAGGCAGAAATGTGAGAGCTGCAAAAATGAGGCCGTGGCCAAGGCATTACCCCAATGCCCCTCTGGTGACAGCAGTGACCATTCATCTCTGCCTGCACACAGCATTTGTTTCTAACCTTGTCTGTTTATCTACATGACTAAGTGGAAGCTGGTTACTTTGTCCTCCCTCTTGTCCTCTGGTGCACCTTCAGAGGCTTTACATAGATGAAAAATAATAGTTCTTTTGGACTTCATGGCAACAAAGAAGAAATCTTTCCAAGCCCCAGTATTACAGTGGCATCAGTCATATTCTGTGACTCTTCACATTTCTTTTTAATGAGCATAACATTCTGTGATACAACCCCAAGAAAAAGAGTTCATATTTCTGTAACCTTCCCACCTGCTGCTCATGTAGCAGGAATCTCTGGAAGTCATGGAGGTGAACTGCTGAAGCATCTGGTCGGTCAGTATTTCTTTAAAAAAAGAAAAGGAAAGTGAAGCTAAAGAAATAAGAGAAGTTAATCAGATGTTATAGCAGAAGATGACATGGGTTTGTATCTTGGACTTACAGTATAAAGGAGTTGCCACCAGCAAGAGACTTTATCATTTCAATGGGATTTAGCTTAGGCTTGTAATACTGTATTATCCAATTACTGTATTTTGAGCCTCCTGCATTCCTGATGTACTTTTGAGGGGGATTCATTAGGAAAAGCACCAAATCTGTAGTCATTGCTTTGTAGCAAATGAGCTGCATTAACTTGACCAGGGTGTTGGTAAGTTTAGTTGAGGCATATGGAAAAGCTTCTTTTAAATTATCACAGAGCCACACTTCACAAGTAATTCTTTCTTTGTAATATTTAGATGAACTACTGTGATAGACCAAAATCTTCTGGAAAAGGGGGCAAGGTGCAGCTGCACCAAAGAAAAGTGGTATCACTAATTTGCCTTCTGTAAGTCACAAACACAGCAGCATCTGGTACCAGGAAGGTGTTTATAAATCTGTGCTTTTAAGCAGCCTCACAGTTTAATTCATTACATGACCCAGAGCTATGGAAATACTCAGTACCCTCAGAGCAAACTTTTAAAGTTACTTTCTTAATCTGTTAGTGCCATATTCAAAACTAAGATAAACTGGTTTAATCCACAGTCAATGAGTTAGCAATGCCTGGGACATTATTCATGCTGTACACATCAAACTTTGAAGTCCATCAAGTGGAAGATGCAGAAACCATTACTATCAGCATTCAGCTCAGGTCTAATCAAGGCCTGTGCACAACACCACTATCCACACTGGAGCAAAAATTTCTGCATCAAATTGTCCTTCAAAAGCTCTGTTCAGCTCTTTATAAAATCAGAGGATAGGCAACTTCAGTCCATACCATTTTTGCAGTCAGAAAGTACAAAACAATCAACAGGACTTAATTCCAATGTAAGTTCACCTTTTTGAATGCAAAAATATTAATGATTTCTTTTCACTTACTAAAACATCAGAACAAAGAAACAGTGAGGTAATTAAAAAGCAATCCTGTAACACTACAACCATATGAAAATGCAGAAAAATAATACAAATGAAAAGTCTCACCCAAGGATGAAAACAGAGGAATCCTTTTTGAATTCATCAAGAATCTTAAAACAAACAAAAAACAAACAAAAAAACGAACAAACATAAAAAGGGAAAAAATATAAATAAGAAAAGAATATCCAATTTTCTATTTAAGTCCATCTAGCAATGTCCATTGGTTTGGAAAGGGGAAATAAATGCCTGTCTGCTCTTGAGAAGTTGCATACAAGTTCACAAGACACATTTTTAATTAAATGCATAAGAAAAAACATACTGCCAAGGTTGGAAACTGCACTTCAGGCCTTTCAATGTGAACACAATTCTCAGACAAAATACTTTATTTGATAAAGCACCTTATACAAACAATCAAATTTTCTGGGGAGCTTTTACTGTTTGATATCCCAGAAAAACTGGAATTAAGTATCATCCATCACATTTATTCCAGTGAATATAAAACCTAAATAGTTTCTAGGTTGGCATAGCATTGTTAGAGATTGCAGGAACCTTATCTAGTGACTCAAAGCACTTGTAAGCAAATTGAGAACTTTCTTTGCAATGATTCACACAGGGCAATAACAGGAACTTAAGGAAGTCAGAGAGGCTCCTTACTGTGAGTTTTACTCTTCAGCTTTCTGCTCAAGCTAATTAACAAGACTTTCATGGCCAAAACTAAAACCTTGTCAGTTAATCTAGGTTTTTTATCACTTCACCGTGATTTCAGCATCACTTTTAAACAGCACAAGCTGTATTGCCAGAAAATCAGCACTGACTTTGACTATCGAAGCTTCTAGTTTAGCATCTGCAAAAATTAAAGTTGAATCCACGATAAGCACATAGTCAAGAAAGACATTCATGCAAGTAATTTCAAATTATGTGTTTTCACACAGTTTTAAAGGGTTCCTAACTTTCAGAGTCATTAAAAGTATGCAGTTTCCACCAGCTTCATGAATCTATACAGCAAATACAAGGAAACTAGTTAGTTGCAGTAGCAACTGCAGTAGCAGTTGCCCACTTAAATTAGCTAAAATGTAATTTCACTGTATTTATGCTTCCAAGGACTGTCTGATGCACATCCTATAATGGACTTGCTGCTTGTAATCTGGAATATGGAATTGTTTCTACCAGTTAAAAAAACAGCCAAACCTAATAAAAAGACTTCAGCATCCTGAACAAGCTCACAAAAAGAATTCCTCCTAAAAACTCCCTAATATCTGTGCCTGTCTCTACTACCAACACCCAAGAAGCAACACAAATGACTTGTTCATCTCCTTAGGCCAATGGCTGATAGTGCCTGTAATCTACACTTTGAGTACAGCACTGCACCCTTCTTCTGGTACAAGAATGAGGAAAAAAGAAAATCAGTAACAAACAAAAAGATAACCAGCTCTCACTACTCTGATGCAGCAGTTGAACAGTATCAAGACCATTTATGGAAAGCTTACCAATTTCTGTTGCTCAAACATGATTTTCTTGTAGAACAAATGAAATTGTTCAAAAGTAAGCTCTTCCTTGTGAGCACCTATTTCCTACAACAGAAAGTAGCACACAGTGAATTCCCTAAACTGCACTTGCACAGTGAACAAGTTATTTTTACTCCAGTTGGCATTCTCTCATGCATTCTGTTCTACTTCAACTTTATTTATTTTTAACCACTTGGATTTTTAAATTTATGCATGTTTTTAAGAATACAAACAAGAAAACAGATGTTGGTTTATGACAGTGCTCCTAGCCCCCATCTTTGGCCTTGCATTTTGCACTCTCACTGCATTTCCATGACCAAGAGAGAAGTAAAGGCTCATTTACTCATTGTTAGCTGGGGCAGCAGAAGCAAGAATGTCTGCTTTAAGGGTTGAGAGTTGGAAAGCAGGAAAGGGTGGAGACATCCAAGGTTCCTGTAGGAATGGAATGACCTTCAAAAGTTATTAATATTGGCATTAGTTGGAGAGAGAAGGTTATTATTTGATCATATTGAAAAAAAAAAGATTAAATTCGTGCAGGAGAAAAAGAAACATAAAATACTTTTCTATGTACTTGTTCAGTACTGAAGCTCAAAACCCAATGTTGGCTTTGATCAACCACACAATGAAAAGAAGGAACATTTTTATCTCTATTTTCTTATACCCTCAGATACAGACAAAGCCAAGCTGACAAATTAATCAATATAATTTATGTATGTAACTGTACATGATATGAATCAAAAAAAAAAGGAAATGTCCTAAAAAGAAACATCAACACTTATCAGATAATACCAAACACATTTAAGTAATCGGGCAATTACCGCAAATTTATCCTTCAAGTACTTCATGCTGCTCACTTTGAAGTTTGCTTGGGGAAGTACAGTTTTCAGCTCTCTAAGACTGATACTAGGGGGAAAAAAAAAGGAGAAAAAAAATTATAGCAAAATCACCACAGTTGTGTTGTGTCTAGTCAGCTACTCATGTATTTTCTATCAACACAAAAATGTGACTACTGAAACGTTTTGGGTAGAGCTTATCTCACATATCCAAACTTAACACCTAAGTGGAAGCAAGCTAGACATGGAGAAACAGGCATTTCAATTAATTTGGAATTAAAAGAACCATATTGCAAAGATATGCATTTCTCTCTCAGCAATTAATCAGATCTAAACGATGAGCTCAAATGTAGATGTTTATACATGGTCAGATGAACTGCAGCCTTTCTTCCACTGGAACTGGATTTCAGACACAGGAAACATCATGCAAAGGCTGTATCAAACAGATGAGCACAAGCAGAAAATAAAAAGCCCCAGTTTTCAATACCATTTTAACCTTTTTCTCCAGATGTCATTCAGTCTGGAAATGCTGATTTGCAGCAGCAAGACTCTTCCCTCTGCAACATCTGAACATGTCCTCTCCCAACCAAGTCTTCTCTTCCAGTTCCATTTACACAGACCTGCTGATTCTTTTCACAGAGTTTCAGAATGCCCAGTGATATCCCAGCAACACTTCAAAAACCAAAATTTTCTAGGTAACAGCAAGGCAGCAAGTCAAGAGAGCACAGGTACAAGACCTGTGGGTCCTATTGCTGAAGCCCACAAAATATTAAAGCAATACCAACAGTACCCAACAAAACAAGACTGAAGGGCTCTGCCTTGACCTACAGGACAATTCAGAAGCCATTAAACCTCTGCAAACACAGGGTCAGACCAGAGTTACTTGAACGCAACAAAACCAATTAGCACGAAGACGAAAGTAACGCTTCCATTCTAGCAGCTACCCCATGAGATATTCTCATCTCCATTGTGCAAGAGGGAAAGAGGCAAAGCAAGAAGGAACTAAGCCAAAATCCATGCCCAAGCCAGATTAGAACTCAGGAAATTCCTGGCTTTCCGCCTCGTCGCCAGACCTCTGGAAAAAAACACCATTAGAAGCAAGAACGAGCACTCCATTGGTACACTAAACACCAAGCACAAGCAATTTCCTCTGGCCAGACAAGTGCAAGAGAAAACAAAGAGCTGGGACCTCATTACCACTGGAAAAAAACTCAACCTGTGGAACAGGACTTGCCTAGTAGCCTAACCTTTACAATTAACCTCCCTAAAAACCACAGTTCTGAACACAACAGACTTCAGTCCAAACTCCTTTCCTGAATTTTTCTAAAAGCATGAATCCATCTAGGAAGAGAAGGAAAAACTATCCTCTCCACAGTGCAAGTCTCCTTGGTCCCAACCAAGCTGCCCTGTAGCAATAAAACAATCCTAAAGCAACAAATGAAACTTCTTCAGCAGACACCTATTGTCAGCCACAGCTGCTCCATCCTAACATCTGCTTTGTTTTGTGAACCCCAACAACACATTCCCATTGCAGGGTAAGTTCTCAAAATGCATCAGGGGGTACAAGTCCATATCCAGTAAAGGATGGGACTGTGGCCAGTTGAGGAAACACAGCTCTGAAATGGGGTCTCAGCTCAGCCTGCATGGTGCCACAGGCTGTCTGCACAAGGGTGTGATTTCCTGCAATACCACAGCCTCAGTCACACAATGAAACACCTCACTGCAGTTTGATTTTGGGAAAAGGTGGACACAAAAGGAAAAGCAGGAGCTATTCTACGCTGATTTGTACTTTAGAATAAAATGCATGCTCCAGACAAAGAGAAAAATCATGGTGAAATAATAACACAGAAGGGAGGAAAAGTTAACATTCTTCACAGTGTCACATGATTTCTGGCAACTCTAAGGAGAGGCGTGCAGCTGAATTCGTTTTTTTAAAAAGTCTCCTTTGCGTGTAAAAGCTACCAAGCCACATCACACATGGACCTGAAAGGAACTACTGAAACTCAAACACACAAAGCCACTCATCCCACTGGGAGCCAGAACCCCTGGGACTTCTTTCACATGAGAAGCAGCAGGTCAGAGGTGATTCTTTGGCTTTGGTCTGTTCAAATACACGGCAGAGACAAGCCCTGGCCAGGCCAGTCGCCAGCTAAGCTCAGTCTCTACAATAACACATTGCTCATTCTGGCAAAGTAACTCTAGGCTAAAATTTAAAATACTTAGTTGTCGTCATTTGTTTCCTCATTTTACCATAGACATAAATCTGAGGGAATGCTATGAACACATTGTATTTAGCAAAAGGCAAAACTCAAGTTGCTAAAATAAGGGCAAAAACCATTTTCAGGGATCTCATACTCCACATTTTGGACAATGAATTCTTTATTTCTTTTCGTTCCATGTTAGAATCTGCAACAAAAATTCACTAAAACATCTGAAAAAAGACAGAACTTCTTACCTGTTTTTTCTAGTTTGATCAACAGAATAGATCTGCTTTCTCAGCCAGCTTGTAGAAGAGGGAGAAAAAAAATAAATCTAAGAATTATAAAGAATATACAGCCAATGAAATTTCAAAATCCATAGACAAAACTCAATAGAAATACTTGAGTCTTAAGATCCTTCTCTTTTAGCAAAGCAAAAACCTTACCAGTGCAACATTCAAGGATCCATTTTTTTTAAACCACATATCTAAATATGTACTTTTCTAATGCATTTTAAAGTCACATAAACAACACAGGAAGGGGAAGGGTGGGCAGGACAGAAAAGAATGAGTAACCAGAAGCTGTAAAAAAGTAAGAGGATAAAGTGAGCCAAAACTTCAGCTAATCTGAACTGGAGTAACTCCAAAAAGTCAATGATTTCTGCTAGATTTCTCTTTGAGCTGCTGGCTCAAATATCTGTTAGATGCATAAAACTTAAAAACTAGAGGGAAGGGAGAGGCGTTTAGAGAATTTAAAGGAAAATCCTCATTACAGTGCACCTCAGTTTTAGATGCACAGCAAAATACTTTTAGTTGCACCAATAGTAAATAAATAAATACACAATTGTTATCTAAGAAGATGAACACACTGCTAAGCTGATCTTCAGCCTCAACAAGAATCACCCTTGTTTGACAATACCAGTGTCAAAGCCACAATTTGGTCAGGGAGCAAGCAAGGACAGAGCATATCCTCACTAACACACAAACAAAAATGCCAGCAGTGATGAAAAGCAGTGGGGTATGGAGACATTGCTGAAACCTTGTCCACAGAACTGGCAATTTGAGCCTCAGCAGTTTCACACACAGCATCCCCTGAAGTACAAAGGTGCAGTTTCACCTTCATATGGCTGACTTTTGAATTTTCCAAGAAGCCAACACACAAACACCAGCTGCTCTTGTGATCTCATGAAGAGATTTTTTGGGTGCACAGAACAAGGTGCAAGTTCACATTAGTGTATGAAACAGGGGGTGACTCCAGAGCACCTATGCAGCAAAACAGACATTGAGAATTTCCATATGACGTTTCAGTGTCATACACTAACTGGAAAGTGTTGTTTACGTAATTGGCAAGTACCACTTGTTGCACCTTAAAAATTTCATTCTGATTTCCCTCTTTCAATTCCCAGTCTCCCAAAGTGAAAATATGTCCATGTACCTCTCTGTGATCGCAGGTGTGGGAGCACTCATGACTTCTTGATACAAGATATTCAAGCCACACAACCATTTATCAGTATCATCCTTAGAGTCAGCTGAAAAAAATAATATCCTCTGATAAACATCAAAACAAAACCAACACAAAACCAATGCAAAACTTGTTTAGATAAACCCTAGTATACAAAGCTGGCGACTAACCTTCCTCTTTGATAAATCTCATTGCATAGCTTCATGTTGCTACTAATAAAACTTATAAAATAACAGCATAAATTTGAGGGTAGGTAAGCTCTGACAAAAAACATCTGCTTTTAGAAGACTGTTTATCAGAGTAGCAGTTTCAATATTTCAGCAAAAACATTATAAAACTACTACTGAGCTCCTGTGGTAACACAGTCAAAATTCATTTTCTTATCTTCTGTCTCCAAAGTGGCAAAAGCCCAGGACCCAGATCAGAGCAACTTGAAGGGCAGAGGCAAAAGAGCTCAGTACTGCTATAGCATAAAGCTGCTTCATTATATTCTCAGCAACCTGCAACAAAATTGCAATATACTGGCTTTTGACATAATCACTTTCTATTTATCTTAACCGTGCCTCTCAGCACAGCAGAAAGGGAGCAATGTACAAAACTGGTGTAGTGTATATACAACATTTTAATAGAAGTTAAAAAAATATCTAAAATTCCTTATGTGACCTAGCTAGAAGCCAGGTCCATCTTCCTCCCAACCCTTCAAATTAGTATATCACTGCTTTGTTTTGTTTAAAATCTAGTTTGCCACTCCATTTCCCAAGCCAGAAGACTCCTTCCCATAATTTATCATGACTGCATTTGGTAATTCTTCAACTCAAGAGAAGCAAGATGAGGAACTGTTTGCTGGCACAGCTTTCCTTAGGAAATGCCAGCTAAGTTTGAAAGAGCCTTGCATGATCTTTACAGCCCTTAGCTGGGCAAAGTCCATTTGCTTTAGCAGGCTGACTCTGAAATGGCATGAAGGCATTCTTCAATTAAACCAGCTCTGAAAAATTATTTTCACACAGGAGCTGAAATCTTGTATCAACCTTCAAAGCAAAACAGTTTCTCAAAAGGTGAAGATTACATTTTATTTAAACATACTTTCAAACAATGCTTTATCCCCCAAGGATGTAGCTAGAGCCCAGCCTCAGCTCCCCATGGAAATGCTTTTCAATTAGTTACAATTTCAGAAAGAACATCCACTACCACTGCCAAACCAATTCTTCTCCCAAGACAATTCTGCCCTTTATGATAGCTACCATTCCCTTCAAGGAACAATTATTTTATATTGTTTTAAGAAACTACAACAAAGCCCTTCAGCAAGGAAAAGGATTTCCCCCTTAACTGAAAGTTTGATCATGTTGTTCTGCAGTTCAGTATTACAGCAACAGCTCATGGTACCAAGTGTTTCCAAAGTATTGGCAGAGGCCTGTTTTGAGAACTGCCATGGGGGAGGGACTGGGGGGGCTGTCAGAGGAAACCAAGCTGAAGTCCCTGGCACAGCTGCACTAAGCACAACCACTTACTCAAAATTCTCACAGACTTCAGTCACCAATATGGGTGAGCACATGGGTAAGCATGTTCCTATTCAGGACAGAGTACCACTCCAAATAAATTGTCTGTATAATTCTAAACCAATGACCCATTACAAACTTCTTAGAAAAGAAATCTCTTTGTAAATTCCACTAGTTAGAAATTGCATCCAGACTGTACTGTAAAAATTTTTACCTCTTTTCATTTCAAAATCTTTAGGTGTGAGACCCTGGATAATCCTGCCTGTAATAAAAATTGCTCCATTCTGTAGATACAGGGTACAAATTCCCTTCGTTTCACCCAGATCTCTTCATATTAAATTTATTACTTTCCAATTTTATTTATGGTTGCCTAGTACTTACTTAGAAGAGGTTTAGTATTAAAGTGACATGCACCCAAATAACCCAAACTAAAACTTCATTTTTTCAAATTAGTCTGCAATTGCTCATAGGTGATAGGAAAATTTCTGTGATACAGCTGCAGTGTAACCTTTTATGGCTATCATCTCCAAAATCATTTTGGCCAGACTAAAAGTATTAGGACAATATTGTGGCCACACTGAATTGCTGTCTTTAAAGAGGGCAATGTTACCACTTCTCTTCAATGCTGACAACTTTACTGAAGTTATTTAACCAGCAAAAGTCTACCTTGCTAGAAAAAATCAGAAACAACACTTGCACAACTTGAAAATGAAACATTCTAAATGCAGCAGGTCACGGACAAGAAGGGCTGAGTAAAAGGTCTGGTTCCAGATTTTAAGCATCTGGTGCCCTCCTGAACTGCAGAAGTTAAAACCACAGTATTCTGTGCATTCCTGTTCCATCAGTGTGTTTGACTTGTTCAATTGGTAGCTTTAAAGAAGAAGATAAAAGTACCTGCTAAACTTAAGGTGTTGAGGACAAACTGGGTACCATAAAAAACAGTAAAGCAGTGTTCTTCTCTGTGCCTTGCTTTGCAACGTTCAAAGTCCTTTGAATTCTTTCCTGGGCGAATTTCTTTTATTTCCATCAGATCCACTGAAAGAAAACAACATTCAGTCAATAAACTACAGAGCCTGAAATGGGAGGATGGATAACTTGAAACATGCATATATAAAATAGCTATATATATATATATATGTATACATATATATATATATATATATTATTTGTATTTGACAAAAATGTAAATTGTGCCTGCTTGCAATCCATAAATCCACAGATAAATAGTAAATAGTAGAAAAGACAATAGTAGAAAAGGACCAGAAGAAGAAAGTGAAATACTAAAAATATGACATGTTATCTATCACTGATTTTCCATGGACAAGATGCATACACATGGCCCTTTGGGTTACAGAAAATGTGATTTCACAAATGGCATTAATTCTAAACAAGTAATTTTCCAATTATCCTGACAACTGTTCAGAAACAAAAAAGAAAAGATACAATTCTATCTTACCCACCTAAACCACCCACATATATCTCACACAGCCAGCTAACCTTGCCAGCTAGTACAGTCACTGGTACTTTCAAGAAAAAATATTTGAAGTAGGAATATAAAGAGAAAATTGAGCTTAATAATTAAAATGTTTGTGAGTTTTCTCCTGGCCAGCTCCAGAGAGATCTATGTTATTTAACATAACCTGTTGTACTGCTTTCACCTTGCTGCTCTCCAGAGAACACAGGTATGCATTGGAGCACAGCAGAATGGGAACCCTGCACACACTCTCCCAAGTCAGCTCCCTTCTTTCAAACCCTTGATACAGGGCCTGCAGAACAGGAGTGAGACAGCACTGAAATAGAAATATGTGTGCTCTCAAGATAAGATACTTATTAGAAAACTGAGGAAGTGGTTTTGCTCTGCCTGTGGACCAGAGAAATAAACAGCTCTTTTCACTTCTGGACAGTCTTGACTTACGAGCTACAGGACGAAGAGTGAAGAAAACATTTCATGGCTGCTCTTGAAATGTGTTTGTCAGACCTAGCAAGATGCAAGGAAAACAGCTGAGGGCTTCTGTCCATGCATTGCAGAATGCCTCAATACAAACCCCTTGTTTTAAACGAGCACCTCATCAGTAACAGAAGACCATTACCAACACAATGAAACAGCAGCTCTGCTACCAGACAAGGGTGAGCTGAACAATGGTAGAGCTTCCACTGCTGCATTTCTATAATGCCAACAGGACAGACAAGAAAGGAAGTTCATCAACAAAATCCTGATAATGAAACACTAATTCATCTTGGAACTTCTTATTCTCTGCAAAGTATCCCAGGCCAAACTCCTACCAGACACTCCTTTCTCACAGTCATTAAACAACTTACACTGTGCAAATGAGATCCCAAAGGTTAACCTGAACTAATCATAGGATACAAGCATATTTCTTAAATTAATTTTTCCAAGCATCATTATTCTCAAGGTAGAGGTTTTAATGTCTCAGCCTCCTTCTTAAACCATGAAAACAACTCCTAAGATCTGCATATCTGATTGGTCAAAACCCCTAAATTTAGATGCAAACTTCTAAAATAAATTTACATTGTGCCTAAACGAGAGCAGGAACCAAAAGCTCCTAGTGATGACTCTGATCATTCAGAGTCTCACTTAGATCCCCAAAGATGTATCCAAATTACCATCTTAAAAAGTTGATCTTAAGCCATCAATTGACATTACTATCAGCAGAGAAGAACCAGAATGAAGAGATAGAAAGTATCCAAATGGCTGCAGTAAATGGCATGGGGCTGCACACCAGGCTGGCTCATTCCAACCATTGGCAAGTGCAACCCCAGTCACCTCTTCTGCTTTCCCTTCACCCAGCAAATCCCTGCTGGAAAACACAGTTTTAACTTCAAAGTGAATCATGCCTTTCCTTTCAGACTCCTTTATATCCACACACATGAACAACACAACAAAAGGCCCTCTAAAAGTACAAACTAGAAACAGTGATAAAAGAGATTTCACAACCTGCATTGCTGTTGTCATTTCCAGGGGCTCTTACCTCACACTGACCTCTGAAATAAGCACACAAACTTACTCAATGTCTCCCCTCAGTTACACACACTCACTACAGCCCTTCTCCTTGCATTGCAGCCTTCAGCTCCACCATCCCCTTCTCCTGCATGAGCCTCTGTGTATATACATAGTGGCACAAGGATTCTTCTATGCACAGAGATGTTACTGCTTCTCCAACTGGTTTTTCAGAAAGAGTTTCACTTTACCCTAATTGCTAAACATTCAGTAAATAGAGAAATGGTTCAGAAAGAGAACAAAATTGGGTGAAAGAGAGGAGAAATAAATATTAATATTTCTATTAAAAATTTTCAAAATTTAACATCCCTATTATTTTCAGGCAACATATTCTATACATCCAACAAAATATGGGCAAGATATTATGTTTCCTTAGAAAATAAATTATACAGGTACAAAACACAAGTTTTATTAAACGTTCTTTAGATTTTTTACAGAAATAAAGATACAATACACATTATTCAGAAAATGAATAGAAACTACCTGTATGTATTTTAACGATATTTCATAGTGTTGCTTAGGATTGTACTACTCTACACTACTGAAAGAAAAGCCAATGTAGAGAATCAAGGGGAGAGAAGAGAAATATGAAAACCAAGCATTAATTCTGGTCTTGCAGTAAGCTCTGCAGCCTCCACAGGTATTTTGGAGTCACCTGGCAGCCCCCACGTGATGCCCAGTAACTCCAGAATGGCTGATTCCAACCATATTGAGAAAGGAGCAGGCCAGGAAAAGCTGTAACATCTTTCAGACTCAGACCAGTAAATCAAATGTACCAACTTAGTTCTTACACAGTTACTGTGAACTTTTTACAGCACAATCTGTCACTGAACAATTAAAATGTCATTTCATACCTATGCCAGAACTGCAGGACCAGCACTTCAGACACTCTGTCTTTGTACAGCCTTGAAGTACTGGAGCTTTCCTCCTTCCCAATCCCACATGCAAAATACAGAGCCCATTCTGCCCTGGCTTCACAGCCTGATACACCCCAAAAAAGCACAGACCTGGACAGATGCACCTTGCAGAGTCAAATCAAATCCAATTCACCTGCAGGTGCAATTTCCACAAGAAAGGTGAAAGAAGATTAAAACATTTCCTAAGGAAACGTGAATCAAAGTATGTCCTGTAGAAAAATTGACTCACATCCAGCAAGACAAGGAGAGCACTCCCCCAGCACAGCCAAACAGTTTATAGAAGTCTAGTGCCACTCTAAAACTGACAATTAGTTTACATTTCATCCATTCCTTCATGTGACTATTTCTCCAGGTTGAAAAGATCTCCTTAGCAGCCTCATCAGTCACGGATTGATTCTGACAACTCCCTCAAGTGGCTTTTAAAGGAGACCAGACTCCAAGGCACCTTCAATTACCATGTTGTCTCAGGCTCTGATCTGGATATGCATTCGAAGCAGTTCAGAGCCTGAAGCTGCCAAACTTCAGCTCCTGCTGCTGTGTGTTGTTTGGCAAATCAGTGAATTCAATGGATCATTACACTACTACATAGATATTTTCCTAATACTGCACAGATTAATTGCTCAGTGCCTTCCAGGGCACCTGACAGAGCTCTTTCCTGCCATGAACTTAACAATAAATTTTTGATCTCAACATCTCCACTGATCTCCATTCAAATAACCCAGCAGCAGTGATCATGTTCAGTCACACACTTGCAGGTACAAATTCCTGTTACATTTCCTTTAGTCACACTTGGAGGTAGATGGTAAAACAGAACCTGCATTTCACTACAGCAGGTGCTGTGCACCTGCTGTGCAGGCTGAGGGGAAGACATGATACAAGATAACCAAAGGTAGAAAACTAACTCAAGACGAGAACTGCTAAAAAAAAATTACATTGTTATACACAACACTGTGCTCCTCATTCCAGGAGAGAGCAGCACTGCTATTTAAAGAGAGAAGTTCTGGCTCTGTCGGCCACAATGGTCACCCACAAGCCACCTCTGGGTGGGAACCATCCAGCACCTGAACAGCAGGTGGGTGAGGGAACAGACCCTGCTGAAAACCAGCCAGTTCCACCAATAGAGCACCTTCTGTGAGCTGCAATGTCCATCTAAGTTCACTGGAAGAAGGCGAGTTTGCAAAAACACCTTTGGTCAAGTCAGGTAATGTTAGGCTGGAACATCAGGCTGATTGTATATAAATGCACCTTAGAGGCTGTCAACCCATCAAGGTACCCTTGATAGAAAAGTCTACATTAACGTGTAAAAATTTGCCTGAATCTGGCATTATGGACTCCAGAGTTCTGTAAGATAACATTCCTGATTCAAAGCCCAGACTCCCGAGGAGTCTTTCAGTGTTTGTGGCCACAAATGGTGCTCAGATCAGAGCTCAGTCATGTACTTAATGAAGGAAAAGAAAAAGCCTACAGGGAGATTCAGAGGAGGCTTACAGAGTCAGAAATCATGCTGTGAGCATTATTTCAGCAAGTCTCAAGAAGGCTTAAGGGAAACTACTGGCAATGTTTTGAAGCAGAAAACAAAGGACTCTGATCACCCAAGCTGTGTGCACCAAGACATGAGGTGGCCATTCTCTCCATGAATATAATTCATTTTCATGTGTACGTATGTATAGCAACATTCCACACTCAGAACCAGATTTTTTTTTCCAAAAATTTGCATTACAAAATATTCCAAAGTAGGTTTCATTTTAGAAAGGCAGAAACTGCCCACTGCAACAGAGGCTGTGTGCAAATGAGTGCCCAGTGAATGAAGAAAGCCTTTAGTGTCCTTTTGCAAATGTACTTCATGGTGGTTAGTGAGGACAACAGCTCTGCTCTCACTTTTGCAGAATTAAATATTAACTACCCAGGGTGTGTTTTAACAGCCTCTTTATTTCAGAGCAGCAATGAAACACAAATTGTATGTGACTCTAGAGGGAACAAGGCGAGGCTCCTCTCAGAGGACAAAGCCACAAGGAAGCAGAAATGTCCTGCAGAATGGCAGTCCAGATGTGGCAGGGAAAGTAATTCAGCTCGTATCAACACAGATGTTTACTGAGACA